ATAAGAAGTGACGTGAATTAATCCTGATTGAGGTGGGATCACTAGTCAGGACAGGTTAACAGCAGTCGATATCGAGAAAAAGCTAGCTTGGGTCAGATTTGTAATGCAGGATCAAAATAATTCCGTATGTGATCACTTGGGAGGGGATTGTAACGAAGTTCCACAAAGGCTATGCGAAAGAAATTAGTATATCAGACCACGTAGAGCCAGCCAATCATAGTTCTGAAGAAGACGCTCGAAAGCATCTTTTCGACAGTCGATATGGATTCCACGAGGACGAAGCGAAAACGATGAGTGCAACAAATCTGAGTGCACGACAAGTACTGCCAGAGTGCCGGAATGCGATACAGCGCAGAACCAATAAAACAAAAATGAAAACTAACCTTCACATTTTTATTTATTTATAGTTTGTGGACAGTTCAAATTGCAAGGAAAGATTATTTGCACAACAAATTCTTTGCAAATAATATTTTATCAGAAATTAGACAAAATTACACGTTTATAAATGGCTAGAAGGTAAAAAATTCCATTCATATAGTTTGCTATTGACGAAATAATTCTAAAGTTAAGATATGATATCAGTTTCTCAGGTGAGTTTTTGTCAGTTTGTGTTTGTTATCCACTTTTTCCTTAGTTCTTTCCCACTTCACGCAGTTGTTGTGTCGTGGATACTAACTTTCTCTTGTTTGAATCTGATCCGCGGTTTCCTGGTTCTGTACTTATTCCTGCAGCTGAAAATATTGTTGTTTTATCACATATCATTAGTTTTACACTATTATCCGTCTAACGTTGGATATCCTCAATTTTTTCATAAACTATTATCTTTTCAAACATTGAAAATATTATTTTTTGTTCCATAAAGATTGTAAATTTTTTGCAACAAGGAATTCGGAAAATAACGTGAATTACAATTTTCCTCAATTGCAGCTGTATGGATCTGATCGCATTCTCGAGTTTTCTGAACTGAATCAATCTGTAATTAGCTTACCAAAGTGTCATTCAACTAATGCAAGACGGATACTACGACGTAAAGAAGCGTTTTTCTCATTTTCTAGCATTAATGCATATTCGAATTGCAAAACTAAATGTCAAAAACTTAATGAATTTAATTAAACCATTAATTCCTAAATGAAAGCCTTGGCACTACTCGATATTTTCAGTTCTCAATTTACTAGCTACTTAGATCGAATTGGCTCAAAACTAATCTACACGAAAGAAAAGTCATAATTACTGAATCGCTATTGTCGTCTTCGCTACTTTCACTTGAAACTTCCTCAGATTTATCGTTTGAATTCTTCCGTATGTATTCTTCCTTGTCACATTCGACTGAAATCTAACAAGTTGTATTTTATCAGATTAAATGTTAAAATTTCCATAATTTTTGGACGCAATCCTTGGATGAATTGTCATAATAATTCGAACTTGATTGCTTTGCATAATGTTTTCATTCTGAAATATTCAAAACCGAATCTTTCTCGTTGATGTG